TCCTGCTTTGACTATTTGACCGATCCACGTGTCATGCCACGTCACCTTCAATATGAATTCAATTTTTTCCCAATACAATATCCCCACCGTTTCAATTTATGTGATACACTTTTCTCATCACTCCATTAAACAATAAAGACACATTTTTATATTTGAAAGCAATTTAACTTTAAACTTGCAATCTTGAGATGTCTTAAGAGTATTTCCTCCATTTCTTTTGTCAGTTTTCTGTTACCCTATTCAAGTTTCTATATTCTCATCGAGTCCTTGTATGTCAAGTCTTTCCCTGTACGTAATTTGATATTTACAGGCGGCTTTAGTCATAGGATTAAGCAATTCTTTCCTTTGTGAAACCAACATCACCTTGTCGGATTGTGCTATATCAAGTAAATTGAGGTAGTTCCGACTTCATTTATCAGGACCTGGATATGATAAGGGGAATCATACGGAAATGTCCCAAATAAGTCCTAACTTACAAACCTCTAGCCATTAATCGTAAACCTACCAAACTAGTCAAGCACATACAAAAATTGAAACCCAAACAAATAAGGATTCTTTCTCTTCAAATATCACACGCAAAGATCTTCTCCCATGTTTTTAAGCGTGATCAGCAACATTTGATACAAGATTGAAAGAAAATTTCATGCATGAGGTAGCAAACCGTATATGGTGATGATATATATATATATATATATATATATATATATATATATATATATATATATATATATATATATGTATATGGACCTTTTTCAATGAGTATGGTTGAAACTCATTGAAAACATATAGATGAGTCAATATACGAAATTTGAGGAAGATTGGAGGTGTTTTGGGCTGATTTGATATCAAAATTCGTAATTAAAATCGAGTTCAAATTTTTTTCTATGACACATGTATCACACGTGTATAAATGGATATACATGTGATATATATATATATATATATATATATATATATATATATATATATATATATATATATATATATATATGACACACAAATAATACACAGTGTAATATACATATCATCTTTTTCCATGTTCATCTTCTGCTTCGAATTTTCAAATTTCAATTCAAACCACCTTAAACCATATCATCACAAGACTGAGATTTAAACTCCTTAAGATGTATCCCATCTATTCCAATAACACCACTCAAAAGAAAGCAAAAATTTGACCTTTTTTTAGCTACAAATACCTAATTAGCTAATATTGATAAGTAATATTTTCTGAATGACGAATATATAAACGGCCCCTTTAAATTGTCCCCAACGATTAATGGACACCTCAACTAAACCCATTTTCAGTTAGAGACCTCATTCATTCACAAAAGAAGTTCAATTATAAACATCCTCCAACAAACCTCATGCGTGAATTACAGTCACGGATGACGTGTCAAACATATCAATCACTAAATGACACGTGATTTTTTTTTTTAAAAGAAATATATATACTAGCAACTCTCTTAATAAAAAAACAGTATTTATTTATTTATTAAAACTACCACCACCCTCTTTCTTCTCTCTCCCCCACCTCCCCGCCCCCCCCCCACCCCCCCCCCCCCAAAAAAAATAAAAAGTCTTCTATGGCTTCTCTGTTCTTGTAATGCTCATTGCACACTTCAATTTCTTCTTTATCATAGTGGGTAATATAGATAACAACAAAACTACACCATAAATTCTTTTGGTTAGAAAAGATTTTGTGTAATATTTTATCTTATTAGTTTCCAATATGATATTTTGTTCGCCACCCAATAATTTCCCCTTGGAATCAAGTAACCCATGACGCATCACTAAGATTAATTCATAGGCTTATTTGGAGAAATTTTTTATGCCACCCATATTACTAAAGTAATCATGGACCGTGGTCAATAAAGTCCAGGCTTCTGCAACTAGAGGGTTACTCTCAACTGCAGGGAAAGACAATAATAAAACTAGTTCTAAACCATCACTGCAACTAGAGGGTTACTCTCCACTATGTTCATACTTCTTTTGTCCACAACTATGCTACGAGTTTGTTGAGCTAACCTAGCCCAAAAGTTTTTTTAACACGATTAATAGTGTCTGCTTTGGATCAAGTTTGCATAATTTGGAAGGTTTAGATTGGAACTTTTGTGATATTCTCATCCTTCTTTTCATGATCTCTACTTGTGAACAGTGGCGGAGCCACCTTGTAGCCAAAAAAAAAAAAATCATCTGCATTTATAGTACGGCGGAGGGAGACAAAGAGAGATAAAATGGTTGAACTTTAATATCAAGTTGGTCATAACAAGCCATGCGATTAAGGATCAAATGAAATGAGGATGCTAAGATTAAATAATATCAATCAAAAAGACAAAAAATATATCAGAACAAATAAAAGAAAGTATCTCACATGATATTGAATTAAAGAGTACCAATTAAACTTTGAAAAGTCGAAAAGCCATATAGACTTATATTATATTATTAAAATAATAGAATAGCAAAATCCTCGTACGGACGCGAAACTTGTAGTTTATTTAATTAAACTTTGAAAAATTGAGAAATCCAGAAAAAGCAGTACAATTATATATATTAGGAAATAGAATAGCGAAGTCCTCGTACCAAGAGAAAATTTTTAAGTATACTTAAAACAATTAAACTTTGAAAAGTTGAGCAAGTAGTAAGGAAAACGTAGAATTCTGCATAAAAAATTAGAAAGTGAAATCCTCGTACTAAGGCGTAACTTTAAACACACATGAATTCATGTATCGAAGAGTAGTTCCGAATTCTTTAATCAAAGATTAGGGCAGAGTCGTTGAATTCACGTGGAATCATGTGGTGAGAAATTAATGCACCCTTTAAGACTTATATTTTTAACTGGATGTCCCCTAAGCTCCCCTTCACACTAGGGGTGGCAAACGGACGGGTCCGGTCGGATATGGACGGGTACAAAATCGATAATGCAAAATAGATAAATTATTCGGCTCATACATACTTAATATGGATAAAAAACGGGTTAACCAGCGGATAATATGAGTATCCATATTATCCATGACTTCTTGAATATGATCACTTTTAGGAGAATTCCTAGTATTCTAAACTTGGGGAACCCCCAATTTGAGGCTTTACAAATGTAAAAGTTAAACTCATTGATTATTCATTGGTTACCCATTTTCTATGTGGATAATATGGTTCTTATCCATATTTGACCCGTTTTAAAAAATTCATTATTCAACCAGTTTTTAAATAAATATATGGGTGTATAGCTGTTTTCTTTTAACCATTTTGCCATATGGACTTCAGATTATTTGACTGCTGCCCATGTCAAATGATGTCCACTTGATCTTGGAGATAATTAACAAAGGGCGGGCTAATAATTAGTAATAAGGACGCAGGAGTCATGAGTTGACAAGCTTTTAAGTTGATTAGCTTCTAAAGAGGGGTTTAATTATGTGACACTTTGAGTGAATTTCACATCAGTGTGGGGAAAGTCCCGAGCCATTGTTATAACCATTTATATAATGAACAGTGTCTTAGAATTTCAATCCTTAATGGAAAGAACTCACGGGATTTGGGGCAATTTGGATGAGAAGGCTCCTAGATGCATCTTGAGTTAAATACTGTATGGGTCCAAATTTGACGTAGCCACGATCTATAGTAAGTATTATGCGGCCAAAAGCCCACGAGTCGACATGAGGGTACGACCCAAGGGCAGAAGGAAAGATGCTGCCGCGTCAACATCTGATCCGTTAGGGCAGATATCTCTTGATTTGTCGTCCCCTTATTTAAGAAAAACCTCTCAGTATATAAGAGGGGTTTGAAGCCTTGTAAAGGGGGATTCGAGATATATGATATTACTCTCTCTCTACTTTATGATCTCTCTGTCTCTCTTTCTCTCTCTCCCAATATTTCGTTGGTACTTCTTTGCTATAGTCATCCTAGAGTTTATTATTTTCGACTACGATTTACCCCACCATCTTTGATTGATTTATTTAAAAAGAGTTAAAATATTTTGAGCCAAATAATTTGGCGCCATCTGTGGGAATTTTGTTAGCCGAAATCATAGTTCTCATCTAGGACATCGAAATCAACGATCATTGTTCTTCATACCTCATAGAAACCAATAATGGCGGAGAAAGAAGCGAGGTTGAAGATGATAGCAGATATCTCAAACAACCTCTGAAGCCTCCTAACGAAGCCAGTAGGGAAGACACCGAGAATACAACACCAAGAGCTACACCGGAGCGGGAAATCTCACCCTCTCCACACGAGGATCTGACGGTCTTGCGTGAAAGAGGAGCTTCCACGTCCACGGCAAGGGAAACGCCGCCAGCAATCAAAAAGTTGCTAGAGGAATGGTTGACGAGTGCTCTGAACAACATGCTCGAAAAATCCCCTCAAGGAAATGTCGAAGATTTACCGACTGCAGAAATCGCAGCCACCATCGACGAGTCAGGCGCTGCACGAACGGGCAACACCCGCGCTGTCATCGATGCAAGTGACGATGCACTCTCTACCATCCTAAAGAATATGGAAGAAATGGAAAACGAGAACAAAGTACTTCGTGATCAGATGAAAGAGCACCAGGAAAGGGTCGATAAAATACCTGGCGCTCCTAAACTACTACCAAAACGCAATGTCGGTCGATTTGTTGAACAACCATACAGCGAGGGAGATGCTCCTCACCCCATCCCGAAAACCTTCAAAATGCCGCCATATTTGAGAATATACGACGGAACCACGGATCCAGAGGATCATCTGATCCATTACGTCACCGCGGTGAAGGGCAACGACTTGTCCAAAGAACAAGTGCCATCCGTGTTGCTAAAAAAGTTCGGTGAGACTTTGATAGGAGGAGCGTTAACATGGTATTCCCAGCTACCAGCACGATCGATATCAACATTTGAGGAAATGGCGGACAAATTCGCTACCGCTCATGCAGGAGCGAAAAAGGCTAAAGCTAGGGTCAACGATATCTTCCCATCAAGCAGACGGCGGGCGAGGGACTTCGAGACTTCCTGGCCCGATTCAACAGAGTAAGGATGGGACTGCCAAATGTGTCGGAAGGAATGGCGGTCGCAGCCTTCCAAAATGGGTTAAATAGGAACGGATCAAAGGCAACCAAGAAATTGCTCAACAGACTCATGAAGTATCCCCCCACCACGTGGGAGGAGATTCACAACGCCTACTGCGCCGAGGTAAGAGCGGACGAAGACAATCTTAACATCCCAACACAGCGGCTAACGTCAGTTCAGACCGAGGCAAGAAGGGATCGACGTAATGATGGGCGAAGGGATCAACCCCCGCGTTTCAATCGAGAAAGACATCAGCCCTATGTCAGAGCATCTAACCCGCCTCCTCCAAGGCATCCAAATGTCGTGCTACGACACACCGTACCCCTCCAAAACGAAAGAGGTATGCCTCCATTGTTATCTGCTCATAACTTTTGTGTTTCCCCTTTAGAGATAGTGTACGCACTAGAGAAGCTGGGCACGAAGGTGCAATGGCCGCAAAAAATGAAATCGGACCCAAGTGCGAGAAGGCCAAATGTCCTTTGCGAATTCCATCAGGAAAGAGGACACAAGACCGAAGATTGCATAGCCTGCGGCAGGAGGTGGTCAGGATGTTGAATCAGGGGTACCTGAAAGAACTGCTCAGCGATAAAGGAAGGGCCAATTTTGCAATAGGACATGACTCATCTCAAGGACCTCCAAAGCCACCGTCACCGGCACGTACCATACAGATGATTATCGGTGGAGGCGACGACTCAGTAATTAACCAGGTGAAGTTCACCACCACGCATAAGCTCAAATGGACGGTCGCCCACGAACGGTATGATGACTTCGAAGACAGTATCACCTTCGAAAAGTCTGATACCGACGATTTGTCTTTCCCTTATTATGATGCTTTGGTTATAACGTTACGCATCGCTGATACAGATGTAAAAAGAATAATGGTAGACGATGGAAGCGGAGCGTGTATTATCCACTCGAGAGTTCTCATGCAAATGAGGCTCGAGGATGAAATAATACCGCGTTGCATAACACTAACGGGTTTTAACAATGCAGTAGAGCGGACATCCAGGGAAATAGCACTGCCAGTCCTAGCAGGGGGAGTCACGCTGGAAACCACATTCCACGTCATGGACCAGGAAACAGCCTATAATGCCATCATAGGACGCCCATGGATACACGCCATGTGAGCCGTCCCCTCAAGCTTCTACCAAGTGATCAAATTTCCTACCCCATGGGGGATATTCAGCATCCGAAGCAAACCACGCACCGCCCAGGAATGCTATCGAATCGCCCAAGATTGCACGCATACCAAACAGCTAGGAGCAAGTGCGAAGGCATAGCAATCAGCCATGTCGGGAACTAAACCCGACCCACCTGCAGAGGTCATCAGAGACCCAGATATCATAGAAGCCTGCCAGGCAACTATTGAGAACCTCGACCCAGTTCAGTTGGACAACGCAGACAACACAAAAAAGTCTTATATCGGGCACAACCTTTCAGAGCCAGGTAAGTATCATGAATTTCTAACTAACAACGCCGACCTGTTTGCCTTTTCCCATTCAGATATGCCGGGGATCCCAAAGGACATCGCCACTCCTAGGTTAAATGTCGACTATCTCTATCCGCCGGTACGGCAGATGAGGAGAAAATTCAATGTCGCGATCAATGAAGCGGTCAGCGAAGAAGTGGACAAATTGCTCGCTAACGGTTCCATCAGAGAATCGAAATATCCCCAATGGGTCGCCAATGTTATCATGGTTAAAAAGAAGAACGGGAAATGGCGAATGTGTGTGGACTTCACCGATCCAAATAAGGCATGCCCAAAAGATTCCTTCCCGTTACCCCATATCGACCAGCCGATCGATGCGACAGCGGGGCACGAACTGCTGAGCTTTTTGGATGCCTACTCTGGCTACAACCAAATTCTGATGGCCGAAGAGTATCAGGAAAAGACGACTTTCATCACTCATCAAGGGGCTTACTGCTATAAGGTGATGCCGTTCGGACTCAAGAACGCGGGGGCCACTTACCAGAGGTTGGTCACCAAGATGTTCAAGGAGCAGCTCGGCAAGACGATGGAGGTCTATATTGATGATATGCTGGTAAAGTCAGCAAAGAAAGAGGACCAACATCAGTCATTTGAAAGAAGCCTTCGAGATACTGAGGAAGTACGGGATGAAATTGAATCCGAAAAAATGCGCTTTCGGCATGGCCTCAGGAAAATTCCTAGGTTTCCTCGTTTCACAACGAAGAATCGAAGTCAACCCGGATCAAATCAAAGCCATCGACACAATACCTGAGGTACTGACCAGCAAGAAACGGGTACAGAAGTTAACGGGGCAGATAGCCGCCTTGTCGAGGTTCATTTCACGGTCCTCGGACAGATGTCACAAATTCTTCAACGTACTAAGGAAAGATCATGGACTGCAATGGAACGAGGAATGCATCGATGCCCTGAGGAAACTAAAAGCATACCTGTCCTCGCCACCACTACTCGTCAAAGCTGATCCAGGTGAATGTCTGCTCGTATATTTGGCCGTATCCGAAGTCGCTGTCAGTGCGGTCCTGGTCCGCGAAAACAAAGGTACGCAATCTCCTATTTACTATATCAGCAAAACCTTAATAGATACCGAGATGAGGTACCCTCACCTTGAAAAACTAGCTCTGGCACTAGTCATAGCCTCGCGCAAGCTTAGACCGTATTTTCAATGTCACCCCATAAAAGTAATAACAACCTTCCCCCTAAGAGGCATTCTACATAAACCCGAGCTCTCAGGAAGACTCGCCAAATGGGCAATAGAGCTCAGCGAGCACGAGATAACTTACCACCCGCGAACTGCCATTAAGTCGCAGGTGCTCGCTGATTTATTCGTCGACTTCAGCGCAGAAATATTGCTAGAGGCAGAGCAAGAAGCGCTTCGTGCCTCCGCATGTACCAACCTCTGGACTCTCTACACCGACGGTGCTTCGAATGCCTCGGGATCGGGACTTGTCCTTGAAGTCCCTACGGGCGAAGTAATTCGCCAGTCCATACGATGCCCCGAGATGACTAACAACGAGGCCGAGTATGAGGATGTGATTGCAGGTCTGAAGTTAGACCTCAAATATGGCGCGCGACGACTCGTCCTCCATTGCGATTCTCAACTCGTCGTAAATCAAGTCACCGGGACTTTCCAAATCAAAGAGCAGAGACTGCATAAGTATCAGTCAGAGATCCACAAATTACTGCCAGAGTTCGATGAATGCCGCTTCGATCAGATCCCCAGGGCCCAAAATATTGAAGCAGATGGCCTCGCCAAATTAGCTGCGGCCACCAAGAATATCAACAAGGAAAATGTGGTCACCCTCCTTCATTCAGCCATAGACCACGTCGAGGCATTCTCTCTGAATTTAACCTGGGACTGGCGTAACCGCCTTGTGTCCTATTTACAGGATGGAACACTCCCGCAAGACAAAAAAGAAGCCAAGAAACTCCGAGTGCAGGCTACTCGATACAGCTTGGTAAGTCATGACCTCTACAAGAGGACATTTGGCGGCCCCCCTAGCAAAATGTCTTGGACCGCACCAAAAAGGCAAGTACTAGAGGAAGTGCACGGGGGTCACTACGGAGCCCACACAGGGAACCGCGCCCTCGTTCGATGCCTCATCCGCACCAGCTACTATTGGCCAACTATGAAAAAACAAGCAGCAGACTATGTCCGGAGATGCGAGCAGTGCCAAAAATACGCCCCTATGATACATCAAGCGGGAGAATTCCTCCATTCCGTCACTTCGTCGTGGCCTTTCATAAAGTGGGGGATGGACATAGTCGGCCCCCTTCCAGCAGGACGAGGAAAGGTACATTTTCTTTTGGTTTTAACTGACTATTTCTCTAAGTGGGTGGAAGCAGGTGCGTACGCCCAAATACGCAAACAGGAGGTCATCGCCTTTATATGGAAAAATATTATATGCCGCTTCGGCATCCCCAAAGAAATCAGCTGCGATAACGGACCCCAGTTCGTCGGAAAGAAAACGACTGAATTTTTCAAAAAATGGCATATCAAGCGGATACTCTCCACACCATATCATCCCGCTTCCAACGGCCAAGCTGAGTCCTCCAACAAAGTGATATTGAACATATTAAAAAAGAAGCTCGAAGAAGCCAAAGGGCTATGGCCCGAATTACTACCTGAAGTATTATGGGCATACCGAACTACGCCAAAGTCCAGCACGGGAGAAACGCCATACTCACTATTCAACAGGACCGACGCAGTCATACCCGTCGAGGTTGGGGAACCCAGTCTGAGATACTCCCATATAAGCGGAGCAGATAACGACGAGAGTAGGTTGCAAGACCTAGATGAGGTCGAAGAACGGAGAGACATGGCCCACATAAGAATGATAGCCCAGAAGCAGCAAGTATAGAGATATTACAACAAAAAAGCCAAGGTAAGATCACTCAAAGTTGGCGACTACGTCCTCAAGGCCAAAACATTGGCATCAAAAGACCCAAATGAGGGAAAGTTGGGAACCAACTGGGACGGACCGTATAAAATCATAGCAGCAGCAAACAAAGGAGCATTCCAACTAGAAACAATGGAAGGAAAACTGCTCCAAAACAACTAGAACGTCGCCCATCTCAAGTACTTCCACTTCTGAAAGGCATCACCTAAGTCGTACTCTTTTTCCCTCACCCGAGTTTTGTCCCAGTCGGGTTTTCTCGGGGAGGTTTTTAACGAGGCGGTGAAGGGGACACCCTGTGGATCGGAGCACTGTTCATCACCTCGGCCCATCGACACAACCTCTAGGCCAAAGTAATGAAGGGACTACACCCGTCAATCTCCATTGTACAAACAGAAATCGCCATTGTACAAACAGAAATCTCCATTGTATGAACAGAATTCTCCATTGTATGAACAGAAACCTCTATTATATGAAACGTAATCAGTTCGACCTCGCTCGAACCACGACGGATACTACTTCGATGACAGTCGAAGAAACATCCTAATTGCTAAGGCCATCGACATCAGTTCGACCTCGCTCGAACCACGACGGATACTACTTCGACGACAGTCGAAGCAACATCCTAATGGCTAAGGCCATCGACACCAGTTCGACCTCGCTCGAACCACGACGGATACTACTTCGACGACAGTCGAAGCAACATCCTAATGGCTAAGGCCATCGACATCAGTTCGACCCCGCTCGAACCACGACAGATACTATTTCGACGACAGTCGAAGTAACATCCTAATGGCTAAGGCCATCAACACCAGTTCGACCTCGCTCGAACCACGACGGATACTACTTCGACGACAGTCGAAGCAACATCCTAATGGCTACAGCCATCGACACCAGTTCGACCTCGCTCGAATCATGACGGATACTACTTCGACGACAGTCGAAGCAACATCCTAATGGCCAAGGCCATCGATATTAGTTCGACCTCGTTCGAACCATGACGGATATTACTTCGACGACAATCGAAGCAACATCCTAATGGCCAAGGCCATCTAAGTGTCATGCAATAAACCAAAAAGGGAAAACGACGAACAGATAAAGCGACAAAAGTAAAGTTTATATATTACAACAAAAATATTATTTACATCCGTCCCTACGGACGGGCCCCTGTACAACCCACGTCCAAAGATTCTCAAACAAAATATACAAACTAGAACTACTCGTCGTCTTTAGTAGGATAGGCGTCTTCGTACCACGAATCCGAGTCAAGGCGGTTCACGTTATCAGAGGTAACACCCTCCCTATCAGGAGTATTAGGGTCGTACCCACATGACTCGCAAGCTGAACGTACTTCAGCATGCATCGCCTGAACCTCTGCCTCCGTCACTCGGCCCTCGGTATGAAAAGCTCTATATACATCAAGCTGAGCCTCCGCATAGACCCACATCTCATATAAGCGATGAGGCACGCCCTGACCAATTGGAGGACGGGATGTGGAGGGCCTAAAATGGCAACCTGTTTCCTCTACCCTCGACGGAGCCACTTGTCTTCGCAACGCGGCCAGCTCCGCCCCTAGCTCCCCGATACACCTTTCGAATTCCGCAATCTAACGACCAGAGGCTTCCCTTTCCCCGATGCAACCTGCTCACTGTTTATCAGCAAGTTGTAACCCCCCGGAATTATTATGTGACGGTCAGACCCATCCGTCCGCACCTCTACATGGGTGTGGCAACCCAAAAATTCATTA